TCCTGTAGGTGTATGTACTGACCCCCTAGTCTCAGCATTACCCCAGCCCCTATCTCTTACCTGGTTATTCGCTTCGCTCGATGGTCTGGGCTCGATATGTCTCAATGATGCTTCCTATTTTACCATTAAAAGCTTTCTGGATATAGGACAGAAGCTAAACTCAACACAAGGCAGAGAGGATCACAAACTCATAGAGAAGTTGAGCTGGAAGGGCGTCATCTAGTCCAGCCCCCTTGCAGAGGCAGTAGAAGACACTTTCCAGGGAGGAAGGCCATTTTTGTCGACGATGGGATTTCTTGTACCATCTTCAGAAGCGGCAAAGTCCTGGTTTCTGCTGGAGATGGAGACTGGGTGGACCCATGTTTCTTCCTTGGAGATGCCTCTAGAGGAAAACTAGCAGGAGACAAACAAGGAGACTCCCGGCAGAGATTACTCCCACACCCGGGTGAACACTCATCCATCCAGCACGTGCCACTTCAAGTGACACCCCAAATTATTCCATGACAACGCAAAGCAAACACAGCTCAGGTATAAAACCAGCTGTGCAGGTGGCGAAGACAAAGCAGCGATGAAGCTTCTGCTGGTGGCTTTGGTGGCTGCAGCCCTGTGGGCAAAGCCAGGTAAGATGCGGATGCGGATAAGACCGAGCAGGGGAGGCTGGTTGGGCACGGCAGGGATGCAGGGAGGTTTGGCAGCCTTTATAGTGCTGTTTGCAGTGACGGACGCTGCAATTTGTGGCCTGCTGGATTGCGGATAGTGGCAGGTGCCTTTGCAGTCTGTGGCCTCTGGCTTGTGCGGGAGACAAAAACAGTTTGGACCAAGTTCACCCAGTTGGTTTTATCCCACGACGTCCACTGGAAGGGGGTTGTGGGTGGGAGGCGGTGACATCTGATAAACCACTATCCCATGCACCTAGGAAATGAGTTCATTCCCCAGCATGACATCTGAGGGATAAGGGAGAGGATGGAGATGGCCCTAAGCTGGTTTGGATCCAGCAAAGTGCTGAAATGCAGGCTTACGCTTAAGCATGGGAATACACAGATGTAAATATTAAACTGTTTCAAATGGGGTTTGAGCTCAGCTTATCCAAAGGACTGTCTCTTTGCTTCTATCCCTGAATCCAGGGAGTTCAACGGCAATAATTTAGCCCAAAGGATGAAACAGGAAGTCAGTTATTGGGTCTTGGGTCCCACTTATCCTGGGATAAAGTCATTGATGAAACAGGTATTAGGAACCAGCTCTCAATTTGGTGGGGCATTAATGTGAGGTCTGCCCACACCCAGAGCCTTTGCCCAAGATGGAAGGAAAAGTTTCTGTCGCGATGGAGTTGATTCATGAGGGAATTTAATGATGACCCACATGCAGGTTCCCAGCAATTGGGTCACACCAAGTGGGCAGGGATTCATCCTTTCATCCTGATCTCATCTGGGCTTGACCCCACACCCCCTGATCCCATTTGTGTTTGCATACGGCTGAGCAATCCCATGGAAGTCATCAGGACCGCTTACAGGGGCAATGTTGTTCATGGATAAGCTTACAGAGGAGAGCCTGATGAGACCCGGGAGACCTCCAGAGAGAAAGGGCCCCTCTTGGATAGGCTTGTCCTTTGTCCCATAAGCAAAACTCTGGCTACTGGTCAATGAGAGCTCAGGACTCATTTAAAGGGATGCGGTTCATAAATCCAAATTGCCTTCAGTGTGTTTACCTGCCATAATAGGTAACACCCCGGCTTACTCCATCTGAGACTGGGCAGAAGCATTTTCTCCCTAATGCTTTTACTTCCACCAGGGTCATTTCCACTAAGACCACATGACATATTTAGTAAATTGAGTTTACTGCATATTAAAGAGGAGGGAGGTTTCCAGTGATTTACTGCTACCTGCCACGTAGTAAGTCGCGGGAAACCAGGTGACAATTATCCATTGAAAAATATATAGCGGCTCTCTTGCATGGAAAAAATTCCTCACCAGGACGTGTTGTGTGTTTGCTTCTCTCCTTAGTTTTACTAGAATAGTCCTTTGCTGAATGCAAACTAGCTCCTCTCCCACCCCGGCTCTTATACCACCTACTAAAGAGGGACAGAGCAGGTGAGCTGGCCACGGGTCTGCTTCTATGGGCTAACCTTAGCAGGGAGTAAAGCCTTGAATAAATTACTCTGAGATAATTGTGCCCTATGTGCACATCTTTAAATTTGAGTCCACATGCTAGGTAGGATGCAAAGCCAAGGTTCAAAGTTGGAATGACTAAACCAATGATTACTCACATTTAGAAAATGAGTTCAACATCAGGTGTGAATTGTACTAGGTCTACTCAACAGCTGCAAGGCCCTGTGTGCACCCCCTTCTTTGGAGAGGATGTGGGGACCACAGGTTGGTTGGCTCCAGGGAGCAATAACCAGATTCCTCTTTTCATTGAGAGAAACCTCTTTCGTGGGACTCCCTCCAGTTTGGCTTCTTGCTTGCTAATTTAGCTCATTGAAATGTTGCAAGGTATCATTAAGCAATGCAACACATTACTAATGTACCCCAAGATATAATGTGCGGGTACTTAGGTGTTAACGAGGCTCCTCCAATGAAAAAGGATGAGTAGCTAGGGTGGAACTGGCTCGGGAGTGGAGAGCTTTTATTAAAGTCCCTTCCTGCAGATTCAGGTTCATCCCATCAGGGTTTTACAGCTGAGATCCATGCGGTTGAGAAAGGAGGACAGGCCAAAGTCCTGGCTAGCATGTGGGATGAGCAATGAATCGCGTTCTTGAGTCAAGAGATGATATGGATGATTTCAGCTGACCTTTTATTCACAGCCAAACTAATCAATTTTCCCCTCTGTCTTCTGATGGAAAATGTTGGCTTTGCTCTATTTTTCCGCCCCTCTTCCTTTGTCTGTTTCTTGCCCTGTTTTCCTTTCTTGCAAGAGTTCATGTTTAGCATACCTAGTTTGCAGATGTTCCCAGAAAGGTCTAAGCCATGTGTTTGTGCTCTTTTGACAGCCGACTCCTTGATTTGCTATGTATGCGATAACGAGAAGTCCAACTGGAGTTGTTTCAAGCCGCAGTCGTGTGCCAAGCACGACGAGTACTGTGTCACAACGCACTCCACTGTGGGGCTCGGTAAGTCTCAGTCATGTCTCGGGAAGGTTGTGTTGAGCTCTGATCACTGCCATATACTTGCCCAGGAGCTAGAAGGTAGTGAATTATTTGGCACTGTGAGATTACCCAGGTCCCCAGAAGCCCTTCAAACCCATTCTCAATCATGGTCTACATGACCATAAACTAGCCCTGCTGCAAGGATATCTACACAACTTCCCTCCAGCTCCTAATCCCTGCTCCAGCATGCAACCTGGGAAGGTACCTGGAGGGGCTGGTGTCCCTTTTGGCCTTGGTCCAGTCTCTTCCAAGGATGCTCCCAATGTACCAATGTGGAACAGCTGGGGCTGCTGCAGGATTGTGGCATCATGTGGCCTGATTGTAATGCTGCTACGATGGCTTGCTTGGACCTTAGTGAACAGATCAGGGCACAATGGGTTAAAAGCTGAGTACAACAGCTGCTGAGAAAGGGTCTGTCCGTTGGTAATTGCTTGATAACTCGTGTCTTACCACTGTCTCCACAGCAAAAAAAGAGAGGTTCAGAAGTCTTGTGGGGGTTCCTAGGTACTGCTTGTCCACTCTGTTTTTCTCTCCTAATTAAGGCAAGGACAAAGAGCCCCGCATTAGCAAGTATTGCTCTCCCTTCTGTCCCGAAACAAACCTGAACATTGGCATCGCCTCGTTTTCTGCCTCCTGCTGCAACACCTTCTTGTGCAACATCAGCGGAGCCAGCAGCGTGAAAACCAGCTACACTGTGATGGCCACAGGCATCCTGGCCAGTCTTCTCTATGTCCTCAGAACTGGGCTGTGAAGGTCCAGAGTAAAGGAGATCCCGTGTAAAGGCTTGGACCATCCCATCTCCTCCATGCAAAGGTTTCCAGGGGCTGAATCCACAGCCTCTGCCTGTAGCCTCATCCTCATGGCTACCTTGGCCCTCAGGCCAAAATGAATGTATTCACCCCTATTCACCTACACGTGGTTCCTCCCTTCCCCTTCACTCCCCTGCCTCATTTTCTCCAAGTGTCATGTGCTGAACAGAAGCTGGACACAATAAAGATTTATTATTTTTTTTTTTTGTGTAAGCCTCTGATAGACCTGCCCCGGCCTTTGCCAGGTTGGGAAGCACGGGATGGGGGGTCCGAGTTGGAGGTTATAATAAAACTGAGTTTTTATTAGTGTCATGGGGACTTTTCCCAGGTTCCTTTAATTCCTAAGGCAGACCAGCTGCGGTAGTATCTTGTAAGCACCTCTGAACACAAAACCCAGTGTATTGGACTTGCCTCATATATTTTTTCCTGGCCATTTCGAGGAAGGGTTATAAGTTACTATATTGTCTTGCAAACAATATGTACTTTTTCCCCTCCCAAAATCAACTGCTGGAAATGGGGGGGCATGGTATAAGCAGGCAAGTATGGGACTAATAATGTTTGTAGCATATGCTTCTGCCAAGGGAAGCAAAAGTAACCCTGTTTGTGCTTCACAATGAATATGCTGTTCCCTCGCTGCTGCTATTCATGTGCTTACTGTTGTTTACCAGCCCTGAGATGCATGACTAAGTGATGCAACAGTCCATTAAACAGGAATGATCTAAGGTTACTATGCTAGGAACATGGATGATACCTGTGCTAATTAGACAATTATAAATCAAATCACCCTTAAAAAGAAAAGGGCGCACATAAATAAATTAGAAAAAATTCAATGTCAGCCATTACTATGAGCAGAAAACTCCCAGCATAAGGTGTTTCATGTAGGGACCTGTACATTTAACATTATGGCCAAATGTTGGCATGCATGTCTTCATCTATATCTGTTACTATGTCTGCTTTTACTATTAACAACACAGTGCTCTCCGGAGATGTGTGCGCTCTTTCCTGCTCTGCCACAGACTGCCTCTGTGACCTGGGGCATGTCACTTATTTCCCTCCATCTCTCTGTGCCCCGTCTATAAAAGTATCGGGGTTCAGTGAGGGAAAACACATTAAGGACGGTTACTGGTTCTTACCAGTATTTCCAAGGGAAGATATTTTTCTTCATTTTACATTTCAAATACAAAGTAAGGATCTTATTCAGGGACGCATAGTATGTGATAAAATATGGTAAAACCATCTCTATGGCTCACAAAAGCCAAGCAACAGCCTGCTGCCCCCAGAAAGAGCTCAGACCCTGCAGTACTCTGGAGGATGGAGGATGCCACAAGCTCCACGTGCAACTTTGGGAAAATCACATCACCTCTCAGTGCCCCAATTTTCCCATCTGTACAATGCGATTAAGGATGGTGGCGAGGGGCAACAATAAGGCCTGAACTGATTTACCATTTTGTGGGCACATCTACACGTGTACATTTACTGCACTGTAACCTAAATTACTGCACCGTATGGGCATGCATCTACATGTGTATGCCCATGCTATGCAGAAACTATGGTGACTTGTGCCGACTTGGGTGGAAATTTGATACCTGCATTATGCAGGTATCAGAATTACTCCTGATTAGTTACTGAACAGGAACACACATGTAGATGCCTTACTGCACAGTAACACTGTGCGTGTGGACTGACTTGGGACTAACTTTAGTCCCAAGCCAGACCACACACAGCATTAATTCGCTTTAAAGCCTGTACAAGTAGACACCAACCTATTCTCACTAATAGCGCAGTAAGTTATTGCGCAGTAAATTTAATGCGATGTAAATGCATGTGTAGACACACCCTGTGTGACATGATCTAAGATCCTCAGATGGAAGCTGCTTTTAAGGAAGAACACAGCATTGTGTATGGGAAGAACGGCATTTTCCTGGGCCTGGTGGGGAAGCAGCCAGGAACATTTCCGGATGCCTTGTAAACCACCCGTATCTTCTGGGGCCCAGGGTTCCATCCTTTGCAGACCCCAGGCTTTGATGAACATAAAAGGAAACCTCTAGGCTTCATGGCTATGGAGACAATCTTGAAAAGACTCAGCTCATGATCATAATCCAATGCAAGGATGTCTGCCTCAGACTTTTTCTGTTGCCAACTCTAGAATAATTATACCAGTCAAACCCTAATATTATATAGTTTATGGGTGTGACCTTTTACTGGACACTTCTCTGGGAACAAGAAGCCTTTCTCAGGTTATTTTGCACCCTTTCCAAGTGATGTGAGGTCATCAGGAAGCAAGGACACTTACTCAAGGACAGAAATATCCACCCTTGGAGTTGTATCACCGTGACTATGCCAGTACCATTATATCAGCATATGGTTACTCTTCATGTGGAACAGCTCTGCCAGGAGATGAGACACCCACATTGCACACTTTCATGTGTATTTGCTGATAGCAGGTGTACCAGGAGACTTGGGAATCTTTGAATCATAGACAACGAGGGTGGGAAGGGACCTCAGGAGGTCACATCTAGTGCAACCCCTGCTCCGAGCAGGACCAAACCCAACTACATCATTGCAACCAAAGCTTTGTCCAGCTCTCACACCAGGCATGTTTAATGGTTATTATGCATCCAACCTCATTTCTTAGGGCTTTATTGATTTTTCCATAACCCTATCACAGGCCCGACCCGTTCCATTGCTTGGCAAGACCTAGTAGAGGGCACTTGAAGCTGCATAGCTCGTTTCACCTCCCTGTCAATAGAAGTTGGTTCAATAATAGACATCACCTAATCTCACGCACCTTTCTTTCTCTGGTGTCCCTCTACCATGGCAAATCCAGCTACATCAGTTGCTAAGTGCAGCGGCTAATAACACACTTGAACCAGGATGTTACCGAGTGGAAAACACAAAGACCTTGGCAACAGCTCTCCCACCTAGGAACAAAGCCTCCAAGACAAAGGCAGAAAAGGACACGATAAATGAACCAAAACAAGGAAAACACTTACATAAATGAGGGCGGTGCCTCATCATCCCCAACTTCAAAAGGCTTTTTGCATATCCTATGTAAGGGCGAGTACATTTTTTTCCCTCTGTAGCTGCTTTATTTGGCCTTTATTAGTTTTGCTTTCTTTGATTTCCACCTCCCTTGGAGATCCTGGACCTCAGCCACAGCCAGAGATGGGAGTTTGGCTGGGCCATGTTGATATTTTGGGGGCACCACGGTTACGGACAAGTGTTAGGCAAACTCTGAGGCTTGCTCATGAGCTCAGACATCAAACTGATGCCCAGATTTGGAGCCAGAAAGAAATTTTCTCCTAGGTCAAACTGGCAGAGACCATTGGGGTAGGCTGACCTTCCCCTCCGTTGGGGTGAGGGTCCCCTTCCTAGGATCACGTATTAGCATAACAAATTCCCCACCAAGACAGCGATCAGGATGGTGATGGTCTCCTCTCTGCAGCTGTTTCGTGGTTGCAGGGTTTAGCATATGGCAGGGTTTAGCTGTTGCAGGGTTTTATTCTTTACCAGAGCATCCTTTGTGGCTGTAGTGCCTGAGAAGGGCTGGAGTGAATAATCTGGGGGATCAATTAGACCAGCGATTCTCAACTAGGGATCCTTTTAAGGGTACCACACAACATTAGCACTGGTAGGTGTGCAAGCACCTGCTCATCGTTCCCCAGATACACCCAGGGGTTTCCAATAGGCATCCACGGTGTCAAAACCGTTCTGATGCGTTGTGGTCCAAGTTCTTTGCAACACAAAAACTGCGGTAGTAATTTTCCATAGTTCAGATACAAGTGAAAGGGAAGAGCTGGTATTTTCTGAAAGGACCCTGACTCGGAGAACCTCTGTGCTAGACAAACGGCTGGTTGCAAAACCTCTGGTCCTGCATGCCAATAAAACAAACCAACCAAGCACAAAGGGCAGCAGGGGAAAAAACAGCCAAAGTGCAGCTCAAAACCAAAAGCAAAGCATGTGCAGAGCACAAGTGAGAAACCACAGATTAGTGCAACCCTTGAGTGAAAGCAGGTGGCTGAGCCATGAGAGGCCCGTGGAAGGAACGGGGAAGACAAAAAAATGGAAATCAAGGAGCAAGGACTCAGAAGTGAGGAGCAAATGGTCGGGAAGGGACCCAAATTGCAGTCAGAAGCAAGGAGTTGGAGGGTTGGCTTTGGGAAACTAAAAGCCAGGTAGTTAGTCCCTGGCAGGCAAGCCCACTCAGGTCCATCAGAGCCATCTGGGTGCTAGTTACCCTGCCTAGATCCTGCCACTAAGACCCACTTGGGCTTTGCTTGGTTGGAAGATCATCCTCAACATTGTCTGTGCCCATTATGTAAGAGATTTCCTGCCCTTCACACTTGATTGGCAAGGAAGGGCTCCCTGCCATAGCCAGTTGCCTCCCTGAGCAATTGTCATGTGCAACCTACCTCCAAAATGGTACCCAGCCAGCTTGGTGGGGAATCACTGCTTCTGGGGGAAAGAGAAGCTGTTTTCCAAGCTCATAGCTTGGTGCAGACAGAGCAACATAGATGAAATGGCAGAGAGGCCTGGTTCCTCTTGTGCTTTTCCTTCTCCAGCCATTCCTGCCCCCTTCCTGCTTGTTCACCCTTGAAATACCTATCCCCAAGCTGTCACCATCTCATTGTTCGGTGAGCATCACAAGGCAAGAGAACTTGGTACCTGAGCATCTTGGTACCTCTCTGAGTTGTTCTTGACTCTCCCTGCCCAGCCAGGATGGAGAATCCCAGCTGGGTGCATGGCACACTTCAAGGCCTCATGGAGAGCCCCAGGCAGCTGTTGGTACATCTGTATTTTTGATCAAGTAACTAAAACCATTGCAGGTCCAACTCGGAGGGTGCCCAGGCCCCACTGTCTGAGCCGGCCTGGAGCAGAGCACTGCGATAAGCGAACACTTTACCCAGGCAGGACTAAGAGCAACAGGGATAAATGAATAGTAATTGCTCGGAGGGTCTGCATCATCTACAGCAGACAAATAAAACCAAGACATTTGGGATGACTGCAAGCCAAGAGCAGTGTCTGCTGGAGAGCACGACTAGCAGCTGAGGCTGTGTGATGGGACACACCTGCTCTCAAGCCTGGTTGCTTAACCATTGCCTCTGAGTTGCATAATTGAACTATCGAGAAAGCAGCAATTACTCTTCCAGAGTCACGCATTAGCACTGTTTACTAGTGTGCACTCTACAGAATGACAACACTGC